AGTGATATGCCTTGGAAACCCAAAGAGGGGTTGCTATAAGTCAGATCTGACTTGATGGCAGTGAGTTTGGTTTTTGGGTTTAGATGCCAAAAGCTGCCCTATCCAAAGAGACCATCATGAAAACATCATCAAAATTGGGGACAGCAACTTCAAGAAGAGCCAAGGGAGTGAAGATCTTTTATCCCAGTCTGTAACATTGGAATGTTTACTCTTCTGAACGGTGCAAGAAATGAGTTATTGTCCATAGATGTAAAGAATAAGAACCATCAAGTCAAACAAGGGTACAAAGCTCCTATCAACAACTGATCCCTAAGGTAACAATTCCATATGGACCAGAAATGGGTGAGCATCGGGGGGAACTCTAGGCCACTGTCTTCTCGGCCAATGCTCTGGAAAGACCTTGCTGGGGCTAAAATCTAAACCTGCACTATCCAATATTACAGCCATTAAATGAAATGAAATGAAATGAAATTAATAAAATAAAATCAGAAATCCAGTTCTTAAATTTCATGAACCACACATATTTCAAGTGCTCTAGCCATGGTGTGGCTAGTGGCTACCGTATTGGTCAGAGCAGATACAGAACATTTCCACCATGACAAAAATGGATGGCTCTGGTTTAAAAAGAACTGTGCCCCTCACCAAGTCTCACCTTAGGTTTTAATGTTTGTGCAACCAGCAAACTCTTAGAATCAAAATGTATGCATACAACTCAATACAGTAGCATGGATATACAAAGCAAGAGTGATAATCATTACATAATTCCATATAGAGCTCATATTCAGAGATTAAATTCTATAAGGTTCTGCTAGGAGTATTTTGGGAAACAGAAAGATTTTGATTACTAGCCCTTCTTGGGGAGCTCTGATAGCATAGTGCCTAAGGCACCTGATTGCTAACCAGAAGGCTGGCGGTTCAAACCCACCAGCCACTCCTCGGAAGGAAGGTTGGGCAATCTACTTCTGTAGTGATACTGCCTTAGAAACCCAAGGAGGAGTCGCTATGAGTCGGGTCTGACTCCACGGCACATAACAACAACAGCCCTTCCTAACTGCTGTCATTCACTTCTTTTTCAGTTTTTATCAGTTCCCTTTGTTCTTTTGGAGGAGCTCTGGTGGCACTGTGGGTAAGGCATTTGGCTGTTAACCAAAAGGTCAGCAGTTCAAACCTACCAGCTGCTCCACAGGAGAAAATGGAGGCAATCTACTTCCATAAAGATTTACAGCCTTGGAAACCCTATGGGGGTCGCTATAAGTTGGAATCAACTTGATGGCAGTGGGTCTTTTTGTTTGTTTTTCTCTTTTGACTCAGTATTTCTCTATAGTCTTTCCATTTATTCCTCTAAGGTGGCAAGAAAGCCTTCGTAGTCAATGATCTGGAAAAACTTTAAAGTTAATGAAATACCCAATAAATGCACCACTGAGTATCGGGGGCTTTAGGCTTGCCTATACCCACTGACATCATCAGCCAGCCTGAGAGCCAAACAGCCAGGTCTGGGACAGTGTACATTCCTCTTGCACATGCTTTTCTGCCCAGCAAGTACAGTTAGATTCTAACAGGTGAAACAGGGACAAGCTGTGATTCTAATGAGACTCTTCTCTTGGTTCCAAACCTGAGCCATAGATTTAATTGGTGAAGGAGCAAGAAAGAGAGGAAGGGAGACAGAGAACCCTGTTCTCAGAAAATGAGCTGTTTTTAGAATTAGCAGACACTCGAAGATTTTATTATGAAAGAGAATTAAAAATCAAAACTTAAAAAGCTAAACAAAAATGAACAACTTATGCTAAAGACTGTAACATTAAACATAATGTACAGTATCCTAAAAATTGCCTAAAGCATCTGACTGCTAACCAGAAGGCTGGCAATTTAAACCCAGCAGCCACTCCTCAGAAGGAAGACTGAGCGATCTACTTCCATAGTGATACCGCCTCGGAAACCAAAGGAGGGGTCGCTATGAGTTAGATCCAACTTGATGGCAATGAGTGAATGAATATCCTAAAAATTAAGATTAGGATTAACAAAGAATAAATTTCCAAATAAGTCAGCCATTCTCTACCAGTAACTTGTTGTTGTTATGTGCTGTAGAGTCAGACCCAACTCATAGCGACCCTTCCTTGGGTTTCCAAGGCAGTATCACTACAGAAGTAGATTGTCCAACCTTCCTTCCAAGGAGTGGCTGGTGGGTTTGAACCACCAACCTTCTGGTTAGCAGTAAGTGTCTTAGGCACTATGCTACCAGAGCTCCCTACCAGTAATTAGTGGTTCTTTTTTATCATTGTTATTTTAAAACCTGGTCATTTATGGGCAAAGAAACATCTTTGGTTAGTTTCCATTTCTCAAGTAGTAAGTGGATATAATCCTAAAACTAAGGTTACAGGCATAAATTCCCAGAAAGCACTTCACAATGGTTTATTAATTAGACTATCTTAAAGCAGAAGTCAGAGTTTGTTAAAATGAGGTCATCGCAAAACCAAACATAACACATCACAGCTTCAAAAGAACATCCGTGCAAAACAGAGGGCTCTGTGAACACATTTCTCTCCCCTCTCCCATAGTCTCATGGAAATGACAGAAGATACTTAAAATAACAAATCAATAAATGGCAAAATGGGGAGGGGGCAAATGCAAAGCAGCATCAATCACCCTCACATAAAACTGTCCTTATTCCATCAATTGCCATGATCCTCAGCCTGCCAGACAGCCTCCCATCCCTGCCCCAACACACCCTCTACAGGATGTCGTCAACTTGTTACCCACTAACACATAGCTCAGGAGCTCTGGTAGCATAGTGCCTAAGGCATTTGACTGCTAACCAGATGGCTGGCGGTTCAAACCCACCAGCTACTCCTCAGAAGGAAGGTTGGGCAATCTACTACCGTAGTGATACCACGTCAGAAACCCAAGGAGGAGTTGCTATGAGTCAGATCCGACTCCACAGCACTGAGTTTGGTTTTTTGGGTTTTTTTTTAAACACATTTCTCATCCAGGGGAGGAGGGAGTGTTTCTGAAGAAACACAATGAAATAACTGCAGGAAAAAGCACACTCACCACCTATTAAGTGTTAATCAATTTGGTCCTCATTTGTAAGCTGAACTCTCTAAAGATAAGCAGGTAATTAAATCAACCACACCAGTTGCCATCGAGTCAATTCTGACTCATGGCGACCCCGTGTGTGTCAGAGTAGAACTTTGTTTCAGAGGCTTTCAGTGGCTGATTTTTCTGAAGCAGATTGCCAGGCCTTTCTTTGGAGGCACCTCTGGGTGGACTTGAGCCTCCACCTTTTTCATTAGCACCTGAGCATGTTAGCCATTTTCATCACCCAGGGATTCTCAGCAAGGAATTAGGGAAAAGCATTTACCACAAAAGAGAAGCAAGAAAATGAATCAACTAATCCCAAAAGAAACATAAATAAGCCAGAGTAGTGAAGAGGATGTTCTTTATAAAAATAAAACTCATTAATATTTTCAAGGGTGACTCAAGAGGACTTGGCAAACACAGAACAAGGACCAGCTGCTACATGTAAGAAACAAAGAACAAGAAAGAGTTCTTAAGAATTAAAACTAGGATTTCCCAAATAAAAAATTCAATAGTCTAACTGAAATATAAATAGAAAAGCTGAAGATGAAATTAAATGGAGATGGAAAATATTAGGAAACAGTAGGAAGACATGCATTATAAAGTTCATCTGTGTAAGAGAAATAGCATAAGAAAAGAAACATTGGAGGAGAACATAATAATGGAATAGAATCTCCCTGAGCTAAGGTAGACAGATTGATAGGAGCAGTAAATACTAAGCAAGAAGAAAGACTAAGGACCCACACCTACATACATCCCAGCAAAATTTCAGAATTCCAAGGACAGAGAAAACCTCAGAGAGGAAAAAAAAAATGAGACTAACACCAGACTTCTAATCAACTAAAGCAGGGGCCTGAAGACAGTGAAACAGTATCTTCAAAACTGTAAGAGGTTTTATAGTATATTTCATAAATCTAAGATGCCACAGACTGCTGGACAGATCAGAAAAAGGTGCCAATTAAACTACAATTGCCACTGATTGTAAGGTACATCCCAATTTCAAAGACCATATGGTAAAGACCATTTCAAAGAAAATGTTCCCCAGAAGAGGGCAACTCAGAATCAATGAAACATGATACCTGTGTTCAGTCTGACTATCAATCAAGATAACATTTTCAGATATGCTAGTCTATTATCCATGATCCTCTGTAGAAAAAAGTACTTGAATAGGTACTTTAGCAGAGCAAGAGAGAAGTTCTAAGAGAACACGAGCCACTAGAATTAATATTAGTAGGAGAAGAACTAAAAGTATAAAAGGAAAACAAAGGTGCTTCATTAAACTGGGATGCTTGAAGAGTATCATATTTAAAGAGAAAAGTTTTCAGGACATTTGGTCTCATTTCCTGTTTAATATACTCCAGCCATCCTACTAAGTAGTACAAAGAGTAACACTTATATAATCTAAAATCCATGCAAATGCTATTTACTGGTGTTCAATTTCTATGGATTACTATGGAAAGCTAAGAGTTAAGAAAGAGAATGGAAATGATACAAATAATATAACTAGATAAAATTCAACAAGTGAGGTTGAGACAGCCAAGAACTTCATCTTATACAGCAGAGATGCTGTTTCAAATTTACAAATTAAGAAGTAGAGATAATTGTATTTTAAATAGTTAAAAGTGGTTGTTTCTGAAGGGTTGGTTTTTTGTTATTTCTTGTTCTGTCTGAATTTTTTTTTCATTTTTACCCCATACATACATGGAAAAACAAAATCACTTAAGCTAGACCTAGTAAAGTTCTCAGAATGTCATAGATGTTCTCTAAAGGGCACTTTTCTTATTCTTTCAAAAGAAGCAAACAAGTTTTCCAAAGATTAAGGGTCTCACTTCCATCTTCATGTATCAAGAAAAGCAAACTGACTGACAACTAATATCATAGTACCAGTTTTACCCAAAAAAAAGTTAATTCACCAGAAGCCATACCTGATAAATCCCTGGAAGACACAGCAAGCTTTTCCAAGTGACTGTTGATTTTCTCAATAGCTTTGAAGTTCTTATTCCTCTTCAGGACGTCTATGGCAGAGCGGGACTGTCGATCCAACAGTGTGGGGTCAGCTCCAAACTGCAGGAGCATCTGTATATCCTCTGTTTGTCCTAGGACAAGAAGGGACATTATCACAGTTCCTTCCATAAGAAGATGTCCCCATGAGTGCTGTGCCGCACAGGTCCTTGCCCGAGCAGCCCAGGAAAGGGGACCAGCATCCCTCTGTTTATAAAACCTGAACTGCCAGGCTTAGCTAGGCCACCCAACTTCCCCAAAGCAAGGAGTCCTGTGTGGAACAGGAAGGACAACAGCTTTTAAGAGGTTCAGAAGTGTGCTCCTCTCCACCTTTCTCCCCTCTCTCCTTGGCAACAAGCAAGGAGCGGGGGAATCTGGTTACTAGGTAACGATTACAGCTGTAAGGATAACAGCATGCTATGACTTCAGATTTCCATACTCCCTAGAGAGGAAATAGAATATTTTTTCAGAAAAAAAAAAAAAAAAACCTGTCTGAGGACATGAAAAGAAAGTGGCAATTGCCACTGGGTTCTTTTTGTTGTCTAATTACTACCTTCCTGGCCCTGACCCTCTCGCTGCCAGCTCCATTAGCTGTTCTGATGTATCTATTTGCCAAGCATCAAGGTGGCTCTGTGACCATGGAGGCAACAGCTCTGAAAATAGAACATGTGTGTCCCTGGGGGTACACAAAGACTTATGTGTAGGTACAGAGAGCTAAAAGAAATAATGCCTGATATGAGTTGAACATTTACCTAAGGTAGATGCACTCCTTGGAGAGAACAATCATGGGAGAAAGAAGGGCTATTTATGCACAGGGAGACAGCTCAGGGGGCAGGAGTGCATGGACACAGGGAAGAGGTACTATTGGGAGGAAGTGGGAGGGGAGCTGTTGCATTGTGGTAAATTGTGGTCAATGTCATGAGACAAAGTGTATGTGAACTGCTGTATGGAAAGTAAATTTTCTCTGTACACTTTCACCCAAATCACAATTTAAAAAAGAAGAAAGAAACAATGCCTGATTCCCAAACTTCCATATGTATGCTTTACAGAAATTTACCACCCAACAAGGCACCAATACTGTAGGTACCATGCTGTTCATGGTGTTCCTTTCCCATCTCCCCAGTCACAACAATCCTTCTCTGTGGAGAGCCCTAAGTCTTAAAGGACTGTTGGGACGTGGTGAGCGACTAATTGAGCAACGGCTCCCATAAATAGGTTGATACTTTTAGTGTCCCCATAAGGACTAGGACTGATGGGCCCTAAGTCTTGTGGGTTGATGCTGTTAAGTGTCCTTGTAGGTTGAGCCCTGCTCTTAGAATATCATCAGCCATTTTCTCCCTTGTGTTGTTCAGAGAAACAGCAGGTGCAAAAGGGGCATAAACTTTAGTTAAACCAGAGTATACAGAAGCCAATCTAAAGTTAATAAGTTAATAGGGAACATAGGTTTCTAGGGGACATAATTGTATAGAAGAATGAGTATAGAATTTAAGAGGTTATGGTGACCTGAGTTGTGGTAACTTACGTCATGGTGACCTGGGTACCTTGGAAACAGGAATGTTAGTTTAAACTTTAATATGCCAATTGTGTATGTATGTACTCTTCCCAATACTGATTAACTTGTGATTGATTGTATGACATATGAATGGTGCACTTTTCCCATGTTAAACTTGTATATAAACTTGAGAACAATCATAATAAATTTGGCACTGCTTTACAATGGCTCTGAGTGTCCCTCCCGTTCCCATTCTTTAACTTTTCTCTCATTTTTAACTCATTCTCTTGCCCCCTGTTCTAGAATTGTCACGCCGACCGCAACACTTCTCCCACACTACAAAAATTAAACTAAATTAAAAAGTAAAACTTCTTTCCTATTGGGTATCTTACTATGGTAGGCAGAATTCTAAGATGGCCCCCAAGTTCCTGTCCCCTGGTATACATACATCTATTCCCAGTTATTTAATCAAATGCTAATCTAAATGCTACTGTGATGAGACTTGGCAAATATAAGTACGGTCCCAAATCAGTTGATCTTAATAGAGGGAAATTATCCTGGTGGGCCTGATCTACTCATATGAGCCCTAGGAAGTCAAAGGTCCATAGGTCACAAATAACCAAAAAAAAAAAACCCACTTCCATTGGGTCAATTCAGACTCATAGCAATCTCCATTGGGTTTCTGAGGCTGCCAATCTTTACAAAAGTAGATGGTGTCATCTTCCTCCTGTGGAACAACTTCTGGTTAGCAGCCAGATGCCCTACCCACTATACCAGCAGAGCTCCTTATAGGTCACAAATAGAAAAGGTCATGGATTGAATGTGTGAGAAGAATTTGATGCACAAGAGATTCTCTGCTGCTGGCTTTGAAGATGGAGGGGACCAGGTGGCAAGGAATGCAGAAGCTGAGATTGGGTCCTAGCTAACAGTCAATAAGGAACTAAGAACCTTAGTCCTATAACTGCAAGGAAGTAGATTATGCCACAACCATGTGGGCTTGAAAGAGGTCCCACCCTACACCTTGATTTCAGTTCTGCAAGACACTGAGCAGAGAACTCAGACACATCATGTCAGACTTCTGACCTACACAACAGCTGTGGTTGTTGTTAGGTGCTGTCAAGTCAGCTCTGACTCACAGAGACCCTACCCACAACAGAACAAAATACTCCCTGGTCCTGTGCCATCCTCACAATCTTTGCTACACTTGAGCTAATCATCATAGCCACTGGGTCAATCCATTTCATTGAGGGTCTTCCCCTTTTTTGCTGACCCTCAACTTTGCCAAGCATGATATCCGTCTCGAGAGATTGGTCACTTCTGATGCCTACAGAACTAGGTACTAATAAATGGGGTTGTTGTAAACCTGACATTTTTTGTGATCTTGTATATAACATACAAAACTAATACATTTATTACAGCATATTTCCCCAAAGAAGGTTAAACCTCCTGACCTCTGGGTATCACTCAAAAGGACACTTAGAACTTATTAGTGACTGAAAAGGGGAGTCCTGGTGGCACAATGGTTAAGTATTTGTCTGTTAATTGTAATGTCAATGTTCAAACCCACCACCCTCTCCATGGGAGAAAGATGTAGCCGTCTGCTTCCATGAAGATTTACAGCCTTAGAAATCCTATGGGGCAATTCTACTGCCAGTGAGGCTGTGGGGAGATTGGAACCTTACACATTGCTGGTGGGACTGAAGAATGGTACAACCTTATAGAGCTAGAAATAGAAATACCATACAATCCAGCAATCCATTCCTAGGTATAAATCCTAGAGAAATCAGAGCAGTGACATGAATAGAAATATGCACATCCATGTTCATCACAGCATTATCCACACAGCAAAAAGATGGAAACAATCTAAACATTCATGAATGGATGAATGGAAAAGCAAACTGTGGTACATACATACAATTAATACTATGAAACAATAAAGAATAACGATGGATCTGCAACACATCTCATACCATGTATGAATCTAACGGACATTATGCTGAGTGAAATAAGCCAAACACAAATGGACAAATATTTTATGAGACTATTATTATAAAAAGTCAAGAATAGGTCTACACACAGAAAGAAAGTCTACACCAGGGAAGGGAGGAGGAGGGAGAATCACTAAGTAGACAGTAGACAAGAATCAATTCGGGTAAAGGGAAAAGGTATACACAATATGGGGGAAGTAAGCACAATATGCTCTCATGGCATAGTGCCGAAGGCACTTGACTGCTAATCAGAGGCTGGTGGTTCAACCCCACGAGCCACTCCTTGGAAGGAAGGTTGGGCAATCTATTTCCGTAGTGATACTGCCTCAGAAACCAAAGGAGGGGTTGCTGTGAATTGGATTCAACTTGACGGCAGTGAGTTTTGTTTGGCTTTGAAAACACAGTATGACCAAGACAAAGGAAGACACTAAAAGGTATGCAAAAATAAAGGACAACTTTGATAAATGCACTAACATATATAGTCCTGCAACAGCATTAATAACTAACAATTTATGAGTAGATACATAGGTAAATGTATATGCTAAATAGGTAAGGGAGGTTGTTTGGAAGTACACCTATATACATACATAGGTATGGTGATGGATATTTCTACATATATATTTGCAAATGCTACACGTATACTCATACGTAACAGAGAATATAGGAGGCACAGTTATAGAAACTACTTAGACCTTGAGACTGAATCACTGGACATGAAGGTCTAAGGACCACAGCCTCAGAGGACACCTAGGTCAACTGGCAAAACACAGTTCATAATGATAACATTCTATATCCTAGTCTGGTGAGTAGTGTCTGAAGTCTTAAAAGCTTGCGAGCACCCACATAAGAAACAACTATTGGTCTATTCCCACCTGAAGCATAGAAGAATGAAGAAAAATGAAACCTCAAGGAAGCAATTAGTGCAAAGGACCCACATGAACCACACCCTTCTCTAACCCGAGACCAGAAGAACTAGATGGTACCTGGCTACCACTACCAACCCCTCTGATGAAGACCACAATAGAAGGTTCTTGTTAGAATGGGTTTAAAAAAAAAAAAGTGTAGAACAAAATTCAAAGCCAAAAACAAAAAAAGACTAAGCTGATTGGTTGGAAAAAGACTACAGGAAACCCCAATACTACTGCCATGAGACAATCTTCTAACTTGAAACTGAAGACACTCTCAGAGGTCACCTTCCAGCCAAATAATAGATGAGACTATAAAATAAACAATGTGAAAAATGTGCTCCTCAGAACAAACAACTATAGGAGACCAACAGGGCAACATTCACCCAAAATCAAAGATGGGAAGACAGGGAGGGACAGAGAAATTGGATGAATGAAATCAGGATCACAGGGAGGCAATGGTGAGAGTGATGACACATTGTAGGGATTGCAACCAATGTCATGGAACAATTTATATAAGAACTATTGATTGGGAAAACTAATTTGTTATGTAAATTTTCACCTAAAGCACAATAAATTTTATAAAAATCTTAAAAGTGACATCTTAAAACCATGCACATATTTACTTACATATGCATAAAATATTCATGGAAGAAAACATAAGAAATTGGTAACAGTGGTTCCTGGGTGACTAGAAGTCAGAGATAGGA